ACAGGAGGCTGTGGGGTCCCCAGGGAGTCGTGTGCATACCTGAGGGACAGGAGGGTCTGTGGCCTTATCAGAGAGGGCCTTGAGAACTGCTTCCAGCAGTGATTGGAATAACAGGAAACAGATTTATCTTCCAAGCCTAATCAAGTGGGAAACACGAGAAGACATGTGAAAACACGTGAAAGAAATGTTTTCAGACATTGGATAAGAAGGAGTAGGGATGGGTGCCTCAGAGAAAGAGAACAGCTCTCTCCCACATGGAGCCAGCAGCCAGAGAGCCTTGAAAGCTCTGCATTCCAGGAGTCCTTGCACCTGCTGCCAAGCTTGTCGGAGTGAGCTTCACTGTGCAGTCCTCAAAGGAGGGCCAGGCTCTGGTGGATTCCAGGCCCAGCCAGTGCCCAGGTCAGCACAGGTTTCCTTAGTGCCAACATCATGACACACTGAGAATAAGTTGACATATGGACTTTATAAAAATCAAGTTTTTACTCTTCTAAAGACAGTATTAAACAAATAAAAAGGCAAATGAGAAGAAAATACTTTTAATACATATCATCTTCAATTCAACCATCAGACAACTCAGTGTGTGTTTTTTTTAAGGTTAAAGATTTGAACATCCATCACAAAAGAAGACATAAGAATGGCCACTAAGCACAAGAAAATGTCTTTAGCCTCACCAGTTATGTCACCTGGGCAGAGGGGTGGGCCGTGCACAGCAGGGGGCTGTGCCGTGCGCAGTAGTAGAGGGTCGTGTGCAGGAAAGGGGTCCACCCCCATTAGGTCACCGAGGCAAGGAGGTGGGCTGTGTGCAACAGGTGTCATGTGCAACATTTCTTAACTGGGAGCTGGAGACTTCAAAGGGTTTCTAATAGAAGGATACCATGAGCCAATGCAGTGGGAGCTGACAGACTTGTGCTCTTCTCTAAAATATTTATGGGAGGATGATTTGAGCTAGCACAGAAATGAGAAAAGACTGACAGGGTGTACAGCCGCCGTGACTGGTCACACCAGAGGAGTTCCTCTCCCTTGGTTACTTCCAGGATCTCAGGCCTGAGGCCGACTTTCCACAGGAACTGGATGCAAGGTGCTACAACTCCTTTATCAGGAGGAGAGGCACTTTCTCCAAGCCTGCCGTACAGCGTATGCCTTTTCAGGCAGGGATGCCACCGCCTGGGTCTTTGGTTCTCGTCCTGGTCTGGCTGTTTTCCCATGTACTGCTTCTGTTCTGTGACTGCTCTAGGCATTCCTCCTGCTACAAACTACTATATGGTTATGTAGAAGGATTCCATAAATCAGCACTGAATGTGTCAGTACAGCTCCGACTACAATACCTGTATGATTATATAGAAAGATTATATAGAACTAAGTATGCTAGATATATGTAAGCAGTAAGGTAGACTTCAAGCACTAATTCTATAAACTAATATATGATTATATATGAAGGATTATATAAAGTAAACAGCTGAGTAATAATACTATAAACTAAAATATTCCCCAGGTACTAGTTGTGCCTGGGGTCTGGACAGTTCTCCTTCCTCAGTGCCCATGGGGGATGTTACCCACAAAAAGGTACCGCGGTGTCATGGGTTTTTTCTGGTTCTCTGCCACGGGATAACTTTCCCAACTTGAATGCTTTCTCATAGAAGAAAATATCATTTTATTAAACAAAACAAAAAAAAAAAAAAAAAAAAGAGCCAAGTACAGTGGCTCCTAAAGTGGCACTTTGGGAGGCCAAGTTGGGAAGATTTCTTGAGGCCAGGAGTTTGAGACCAGCCTGGGAAGCATGGCAAGACCCTGTCTCTACAAAATAACAGTAGCCGGGCATGGTGGTACACACCTGCAGTCCCGGCTGCTCAGGGGGCTGAGGCGACAGGATCACCCGAGCCCAGGAGGTCAAGGCTGCAGTGAGTCGTGATCGCACCATTGTACTCCATCCTGGGCCACCGAGAGAGACCCTGTCTGAAAACCAACCAACCAACAAACCAGCTGCACTTCTAGGGCAGTGGGAGGTGGGGTAAATGGGTTCCTCCCCGCTCCTTCTGCTAAGTTCAGCGAGAAACTGGGGGCATCACATGCAGAAGGCTCTGAGTGGAGAGTGAGGTGAACAGCGGGGTGGGGCCCTTGGCTCCAAGGAGCAAGGCAGAAAGAGCTCCCTGGGTTTTCCACCAGCTGGAGCCAAAGGAGCCGGCAGCCTGGAAACGGCCCTGGGTGCGGAAATTTAAAATCTGAAAATCCCATCGAGGTCCCAGCCTCTCCAACCGCAGGTCCACGAAAGGGTCGCCAGGAAGACAGATGACATGTCTTTCAGATGATCATCACACTATTCCAGCCAGATGCCAGGGAAAGGCTGTGCCCGCCTCCCCTCACCAAAAGGCAAGTGGAGAGCTGAGAGTGCCACTGAAGATGCAGCCACGCCCCCATCTCCAGGGTGGTGGAATGGGAGGCAGGACTCCATCCCCAGTGTCGTGGTAGTGAGCCCCAGTGTCAGTGGAGGCTGCACGGGGAGCGCGAACTCCTGCCCCTGCACAGCAGCCAGACAGTGCCCTCCTCTCCCCACCAAGGCAGGGCCAGGACCCTCCGGAAAATCCAGAGTCTCGTATGCAATACCCAGAACATGGAGGTTTCCATCAGAGTCACTTGCCACACCAAGAACCAGGAAGATTTCAAGATGAATGGAAAGACAGTCAGTAAAAGGTGGCCCTGAGATGGCAGAGACGTTAGCATTCTCTGACAAAGGTTGGGAAACAGCCACGGGACATGCTCTAAAGAGAAATTACAAACACACTGGGAACAAATGGCAACATAGAGCAGCCCAACAGACAAGATGCAGAGCAGAGCCAAGAGGAAATCTTAGAGGTGAAAAATAGCCCAGACAAAAAATGCTGTGGCTGGGCTCAGCAGCAAAATGGAATGGACAGAGGACAGAGGCAGCGAACTGGAGACTGAAAAGCAGAAAGTGCTCAGTGAACAACAGAGAAAAACTGACCAAAAAAAAAGGATCAGAGCCTCAAGGACATGCAAGGTGGACTCTATGCCGTGTGTGTGGGAGCCCTGGCCTCTGTGCCATGTGTGTGGGAGCCCCGGCCTCTGTGCTGTGTGTGTGGGAGCCCTGGCGTCTGCACCGTTTTTGCCCTAGGAGTTCCAGGGCAGGAGGGACAGGCTAGGAAAGTACTTGAAAGAATAATGGCTGAAAACCTCCCAGATTTGACCAAAGACGTAAATGTACAGATTCAAGAAGATAAGCAAACCCCGAACAGGATGAATTCAAAGAAATTCACACTAAGATAATCATAATCAAACTGATGAAAACCAAAGACAAAGAAACCGCATTGAAAGCAGCAGTGAGGAGACGGTAGGTAGGGACGATTGAACAGCGTGCAGGCAGAGGGACTGCAGTGCTGGGGAAAGGCCTCGTGGGCACAGATGCTGCAGCCCCGAAGGCCGCTTCTGGAATTGAAAGGGGGAATGGGCAAGACACGTGTCCAGCAGTGCCTAGACAATCTCCAAACTCAGCCATGCAGGAGCAGTCCAGTTAGGAAAAGGATAGAAGGCACAGAGACAGCCGCCCTGTGTGTCGCATGTAGAGACAGCCGCCCTGTGTTTTGGATGCACAGACTGCAAGGAAGCTCCTGAAACGACACCTGCATCGTCAGCCACAGGGAGACCGGGTTAGATGGCAGGACGCTCTGCCTCACATCTGCAGAATTGCGGGGAAGAGCCACGGAAACGGGGTAGCTCTCGTATCACCTTAGGAGCGTAAATCCCACAGTCTGGAAGATGTTTCAGCGGTTTCTTTCAAAAACTACACCACCACCATGTGACCTGGCGCTTACACTCCTAGGCCTACTATCTCAACTGGCCCTCCTGTCCAGAACAAATGGAAACTTCACCAAAAAAACTGTGCAGTGAACATTTACAGCAGTTTTGTGTTAATCAAAACTAGGACCAACCCAGATGTACTTCAGTGGTTAACCTGTGCTTCATTTGCCTACCACAGAATACTAGTCAGCAATAGAAAGAAATGAGCTATTGATACAGCAGCAGCCGGGATGAGTCTCCAGAGGACTGTGCTGCAGAAAAGACGCCAGTCCCCAACGCTGCCTGCTGTAGAGTGCCGTTTGCATAGCATTCTTGAAATGACCGATTAGAGATGGAGAACGGGTTTGTGCTTGCCAGGGGTGAGGAGGAGGTGGCAGAGGGAAGTGGCTGCAGCTGTAGAGCAGCCGCAGGAGGGACCCTGTGCGAGGGGTGCTCTGGGCAGGAGGTGTCCGTGTGTATTCTGGTGGGGAGGTTCACAGTGACCTCAACATAGAAAGGTAAACATGTTTAAAAATCATTCTTCAGGCCGGGCGCGGTGGCTCACGCCTGTAATCCCAGCACTTTGGGAGGCCGAGACGGGTGGATCATGAGGTCAAGAGATCGAGACCATCCTGGTCAACATGGTGAAACCCCGTCTCTACTAAAAATACAAA